TAAGAAACTTTAGCATTATCTCAATTGCAATAGTTTGATTACTTTTTGTAAAAGTTCTTTTCAAGGAGTCGGAAGCATAACATAAAACAAATATGATAGCCTTGAAGTTTTTGTAACTTTTTCTTGTTATTGCTTACAATTTTCATTGCAACTTTTGTATTTTGCAAATTTATTTTTGAAAAATATATGCAATAAGTTTGATACATTTAAAAAAATTACAGAGAGCACTAATAGCAAGGTCAATAATGGTAGAATTTATTTTAAATAATTATAAGGAAATTATTAAAGTTATGCAATCTTCTTGTGCCTCTATAATAAAAAAGTTTAAATTTTTAGTTTTTGTTGAAAAGTATAGACTAGATTAAAGCTTTCCTTTATTGTTATACTACATGGCAATCAGGCTAATTAGGTGGCAACAATAACATCGATTTAGGAATAAAATTTGAAAGTGAATTATATTGGGAATATTTTTTAGAAAGAGTGTTATTTTGGCAAAAAACTCGTTATTAGGACATAGAATCAAACGGTGTCATTCCCTAAAATCCCTTCAGTCCGCCACGCCACTTGAATTTTTTAGTTTGCCACTCTTAGCTACGTACATATAAAAAGCACGCTTTCCTTATTTAGATGCAAGAAGTGCACGCTTTCTTTGTCCTTTCACCTATTTCTCACTTTTTTCTTTTTCTCATCTTTATGTAATTAAGTTTTTCTATTGTTTTGAGTTTTTTTTTTTTTTACTCTCAGTTTGTGTTAAAATAATACAATATGACAATTTAGTGTGTTTGGGCAGATTTTTTTTTTTTTTACCAATTTTAACTAATATAGGACTTTTTCTAATTTATTATACAATAAAATAGTTCAAAAAATAAAAATGTTGTTAGAAATATGTTTACGATTCAAACAAATAAACACTCTTTTAATTAAAATCTTTTTGGTACTCATTTTGTGGTGTTATCAATTATGTATAACTAGCAGTCTAACAAGACCTGACAATTGAATTAGTTGATTGAACAATCAAAATAGTTTGCAAATACATGTACGAAATGCTAAATCTATTTATTTGGTATATGTACCAATTCATAAATGATAAATGTGGCTTCTATAATTAATAACAATCTTTTGATCATGCAAATGTTAGGATTAGACTTAATTTCGTATTAAGTTTTATTGTTAAATTCTACTATTGACTACCTCTATTTTTAGATTATCCAAATTATTAATTTTCCACCATGTTGTCATTTGGATAAATGGGGAATGTATGAATTTTTTTACATTTATAACAAATTATTACATAAGTTTGGGAAAATTATAAAATATGTATACATATATAGTTTATTAAGATACCTTATATAGTTTGCTAATAAAAAATAGCACTAAATTGCAACACCATAGGGTGCCATAGTACAAATAATGAAATTTGTGTATTACATATAAGGCTAAATTGCAAAAGTTAGAGTGCCATAGTTGATTTAATGAAATTGGCGAATTAGATATAGGGCTTAATTGCAAAAGTTTTGGTGTAATGGTAGAGTTAAAGAAATTGGTATACTACATATGCGGCAAAATTGCAAAAGTTAGAGTGTAATAGTAGAATTAAAGTAATAAGTGTACTGCATATGGAGCTAAATTACAAAAGTTATGGTGTCATAGTAGAATTAATGAAATTTTTTTATTACATTTGGGGCTAAATTGCAAAAGTTAGGGTGGCATAGTAGAATTAATGAAAATTATCTAGGAACAAGTACTTTAGACAGTGACAACTAATTGTTCTCACTACCTCTGAACCGGTTGAGTGACAGTGACGATGTTGGAAATTGTCACTATATGGACCATTTGAGTGACAACATTTTTCTAGGTCAGCACACAAGTAATTTCCCGATCACTAATTTTTCATGTGTTGCCAAGAGAACTAGATAGGGAGTCCATGATATTGTTTTACCTTCATAACAAGTTACTAACTAAGTTTGGAGCAATTATAAAATATGTATACATTTTTATTACAATACCTTCCCCATTTTACTAATGAAAAACATAGGCTAAATTGTAAATGATAGGGTGTCATAATAGAATTAATGAAATTGGTTTATTACACATGAGGCTAACTTACAAAAGATAAGGTGTCATGGTAGAGTTAATGAAATTAGTTTACCACATATGGGGCTAAAATGTAAAAGATAGGGTGCCATAATAGAATTAATAAAATTTATTTACAACACATTGGGCAATATTGAAAAATTTAGGGTGGCATAGTAGAATTAATGAAAGTGAGTTAGGAACAATTTACTTTAGACAGTGATGACTAATTGCTGTCACTAACTTTGAACCGGTAACCACATTGTGATAACATTACAAGAAGTCACTATAGGCCTATTTCAGTGACAATATTTTTTCAAGTCATCACGATGGTGATTTCCCGCCATAAGGCCAATTGTGCGCCACCCATATTGTGATGATTAATCCCGTGTTTGTCACTGATGATGAGTTTACCCTCAGTCAACTATGATAACATCAAAAGTCGTCACTAAATTTGCTCAACTGTGACAACTTTTTCTGTTGTCACAGAGAATGTTGTCACAAAATGCCAAATTTCTTGTAGTGTGCAGTGACAAGTCACCTCACGAAATACTAAAATAATTCAAGTTACCAGTAGTTGTCTAAATTACCCAACTTTAGCAACAATTTTGGTCCTTTAGCATCTTTTCTAAGTCCATTAAAATAATGATTATAAATTCTGGGTAAGTTTTTTAACTAAAATGGTAAGTTTGTTCACTAAACTAGTAATTTTAATCATTCATCAAATTTACCAATTTATTTGTCAAACTTACCATTTTTTAACAAAAACTTACTATTATTTCAATTAAACTTACTATTTATAATTGTTGTAACTTTCTTAAGTAAAACGATAAGTTTATGAAATAAAGTAGTAAGTTTGAACAATTCACCAATTTACCATTTTATTTGTAAAACATACCATTTTTCAATAAAACTTACCATTATTGGAATTAAACTTATTAACCATTTTTCAACAAGAACTATTCATTATTTGAATTAAACTTACTAAATATAATTGTTGTAACTTTCTTAAGTGAAATGGTAACTTTGTGAAATAGAGTAGTAAGTCTGGACAATTCACTAATTTACCATTTTATTTGTAAAACTTACCATTATTTGAATTAAACATACTAATCATAATTGTTATAACTTTCTTAAGTAAAATGATAAGCTTGTGAAATAAAGTAGTAAGTTTGAACAATTCACCAATTTAACATTTTATTTGTAAAACTTACCATTTTTCAGTAAGAACTTACCATTATTTGAATTAAACTTACTAATATTGTTGTAACTTTCTTAAGTAAAATGGTAAATTTGTGAAATAAAATAGTAAGTTTGAACAATTCACCAATTTACCATTTTATTTGTAAAACTTACCATTATTTGAATTAAAATTACTAATTATAACTGTTATAACTTTCTTAAGTAAAATGGTAAGTTTGTGAAATAAAGTAGTAAGTTTGGACAATTCACCAATATACCATTTTATTTGTCAAACTTACCATTATTTCACTTAAACTTACTAATTATAATTGTTGTCACTTTCTTAAGTAAAATGCTAAGTTTGTGAAATAATGTAGTAAGTTTGAACAATTTACCATTTTATTTGTAAAACTTACCATTTTTAAACAAAAAATTACCATTGTTTAAATTAAACTTACTAATTATAAAGTAATATGTTTTGTTGGAGAAGTAGTAATGTTCGGTATTTAAGAGTAAACTTCATATCACACTTATAACTTACCAATTTTATTACCAAAGTTACCATATTACCACCTGATGTTACTTTGAATCTTGGAAACCTAAATGAACAGTAGTGCAATTGTCACTAAATATACCAATCTTGGATGTGGGGACCATTATTAACTTGTTGTACCAGTATTTTAATGTAAAATATTCACAAGTTATGTTAACGATTGACACTATAGCATTATCCTTGGTGATGCTTATGACTTTCTCTTTTTTTCGTTAGACTTGTTTTTTAGCATCGCATCCAACTCTTTAGCAGATATTTTTTCGTGTTAATCGGAGTCCAATTTGCTACAAAACATATTTCACCACAAAATACCGTAGAAGCCAACAGCAAAAACGTACTGGAAAGTTCATTTGCTACTTATTTTGGACGACCAAACACATAATCGAGAGGTAATATGGGAACAAAAATTCTCTAATTAATTACCATTATAATAGATGCTTTAGGTTCTTCCCCGCTTCAATAAAAGCTAAAGTTCATTAACGCAACATGGAGAGAAGAAGCAAGATTAACTTAGTGACGCCATATGAATACAATTAATGTAGAAGAGATAAAAATAAAAGTGATCTAATGTGGTGGTAATGTGGTAGCATTTTTCTGGTTGGCTATGGCCTTTATCTAATGCTGTTCTAGTCTTAGATGAATAAATGCTTTTCGCATGTAATCAAAGTATCAAACACTTTTGATTCATGCAGATCAGCAACTTCACTTTTTCTCTTTCTGTGTTGAAACGAAGTATTTATAAATTCAGTACCGTAGAATAAAAGGTACCTTTTAGAGGTACTCTCTCCACTTTATTGTTATTTAATATTTTCACTAGTTTGCTATTCCGAAATAGAAGTAACTATTTTGCTATCCCAAAATAAAATAGAAGTCACTATTTTGAGATTCACACATAACATCAGTTTTGTTTCAATTTTGCAATTTCAAAAACTTGGATAAATTTATCTGATGCCACCCCATCAGAACTTAATGGACCAAGACTGGTATAGTAAAATTTTCGTGTGGTTGTACGGATATTATACTTCTTAAATAATTTAATATACAATCATGTAATTTTGTTCAACGCGAAAAGTTTGTTCGTGTATATCAACTTGATGCATAAGTGCAATCTAACAGCATAACCACCATATAAAATCACACCTATTCCAATTCCCAACATAATAATCACATGTATTCATAACAAGTTGAATTCCCAGAAAAATGACTCTCATACTTGGATAGAGGTAGTCCATTTATATTTAAATGAGTACAAGACAGATGGTAACAAACACACATGGATAGACTGATTAAGTTATCACTGAGCAGTGATGTTTCAATGATAACACATACAGGCATACATAATTAGCAACTGACATAGGAACAGCTACCATTGGCGGCACATATGCAATTCTAGTGAATTGTTGGCCTTTATTTCACATTACAAAGTACGGTGCAAATTGTAGCATATAGTAGGCTTTCAACATTTGTAGCGACAGTAGCAAGCATAATGACGTTGATGACCTTGGCCAGTCCACATACATGATCCGGAGTCAGCATGGTCTCGAGACTTGCAAACATTGTGGCACCCTTTATCGGCACATTTCCCTGACCAGGATTTGCTAGGCTTCTGGCAAGATTTAGCTTCAGCTATTGGCATCTCTGCATGAAACAAAGCAAGAGAAAGAGCAAATTATGTAGAGTTAGTCCAGAGTTTATGATATGTATGAGGGATCTAGCCTGTCCACCTAGCGGATAAGTGTTTGTTAGTATTATAGGTTATGGCTCCTCTATGTCATTGTTTTGTGTCAATCTTTGTTCCATTTTCTATTTTTGCACCACATGTATTGTTACTTGCAACACTATACATGTATATTTGAAGTAGATTTACATGTGACGAGAAATTAGAAAGTGGAAGAGAAATTCAAGAGCAGAAAACATTTATTGAAAAGCATACGTAATATAAATTAGTTCGTAAAATTTTGATTGTGAGTGTACATGCACATGATACGCATGTATAACTATTGTAATTCATTGCTAGTGACAACCAAATCTGTTTATTATACTCGAAATTCTCTAACTAAGAGAGAGGTAGAGACAAATAATTAAAACTTTGGGAATGTGCAAATATATGCCATTCTGTGCATGTGTTCACCATTTAAGACTAGCTACAACTTACCATTTGGTACGAGGAGGAGGAAGCAGATGAGCAGGGCAAAGAAGGTTGCGCAGCTGAATTGAGATTTAGCCATCTCCGATATCTTATGTTAGCTTTATTTGAGAGAAAACAAGTAAATGATGATACCTATTTATAGCAAGAGACAGTGAAATTTTCCAAAACCTAATCGGTAGTTGTTTTGAAACTTCTTGTCGCTGAGTTGTTAGAGAAAGGGACAAATATCAAAGAATAAAGACAAAGTCTAAGTCATAATTAGCTTGCAAAAGGAGTTTGAACAAAGTATCAACACCGTTAAGATTTGAAATTTTTAAGTAGGAAAGATAATGACCATTAGCATAATGTCACAAAGTAAAGTATCAAATCATCTGGTTGCTGGATTGTCGGTTACATCATTTTCATATACAATCGATGGACGCAAAAACTCACCACGCATGCTACCTTCAAAATCTGTGCCTTGAGAAGAATAATGCTTAAATGAAAGCACATTTTGTACAAGAAAAAGTTTGGTATGATATCTGTTTCTTCCTCTTTTTCTTCTTTTTTTTTTAAATTTTTGGTACATCAATTTAGAATTTAGAAGCCACAAGGCAGAAAGGACGGCAGCAATGGATACTTGAACCCCATATCCCTCATGTTTTCGATGCACATTCTTGTGCTTTATTTTCTCACAACCAAGACTAGCTAGTAAAGGAAGATTGAATATAAGATATTACAATTTTTTTTTACCAATGATCCATTTAAGTTTTCTAGAGATTTAACCATGTCCATTATTTGAATTTTACAAAGCGCGTGGAATAAAAAAAATCAAGGATGATAAGAATTTAAAGCAGGACATATATAGTGAGCTTTTCAAGTATCTGATATACGTTGAAATTTGAATCATTCATAAAGGTGGCAAAATGGGCGGGATGGGCGGGATTTGCTTGGGTTTGAGATGGAACCGAGTCACATGGGTTTGGGCCCAATCTGACCCATATGTGTTTTGGGACTAACTTGGGCGGGATCACTTTGGGATGGGTTTAGATTGATCCCGTCCAATACCCAAATCTATTTTGTACATATTTTTTTTTCCTTTAATTCATTTTTTATTTTTTATATAATTTTAATATTTTTGACTTATTAAATTTCTTTTAGTTTTATTAAATAAACATGCAAGTGCTTTATACTCAGGATCCCGCCAAAAATTGGATTAAATAAAGGAAAAAATAGATATACAACCATATTCCAACATATATCAAGATGGCCAAGATATTTAGGGTGTTGAATATTTATCCTCGTCATTGTCCAAGAATGACAGGTCTAAACTGACTAAAATGTTGGAAATTCTTGTGGATAATGACTAGAAATACTACTAGATTATATTCACTGGTGTGACTATAAAAATTGTTAAAGATAATTTTTTAATCTAAGACTCCGTTTGGATTGACTATTTTTTCAAAAAATAAGTTTTTCAAATACAATGTTATAGTAATATACAATAACTCAAAAAACATCCCATCCATATTAGTATATCAAATATTTCAAAAAAAATTTATAGTAAAATTTTTTCATATACACTACTACAATAAAATATTTCAAAAACACCCCCCAAAAATAATTAATCCAAACGGAGCCCTTGCTATTTGAGCCCAATGGGTACCCAAGTATTTCCCAAAATTTTCCATCAATTAATGGGTACAATTGGGATTTGTCCCATTTTAAACCCAATATCAAATTTCAGTACTCATCCCGCCCAAAGTCCCCATGGGTATGGGTAACCCATTGGGATTTGGGACAAATTGCCACCTCTAATCATTCATATCCGTGGAAGATCAAACAAAAGGAAATGTACGAATAGAATAAGATGCTAGATAAGAAGTTCAGCAAACATCACTTATCCAAGGACATAATTAATAGCATTAAGACCGGTACAAAATTTGAATAGATCAAAAGACAGCTTAATTTCCTACCGTCTTAATAAGATATATTGATTTATTTGAGGATTACTATATACGTGAATACTGGAAATCTTCTAGCAAATGGGCTATACACTTTGCATAGATTACTGATCAAGTTGTATTGAGGTTGTTGATAGATCATTTTCTTCATCAATCCATGCATGAACAAACCACGTCAGCTCACCTAACATATTTAGTAACTTGAAAAAGGTGAATTGAGTATTAGAACAAAAGTTGGGTGTATGTGCTAAATAATCAATTGGTTTGTTTAATGACATAAATATTAATGCTGCAGCATGGGACAGAGTTATCGAACATACAACTAAACTTGAAAATACAGTGGCTGATTCTTAGCATCAATTGGTCGAACTAAAGGACCACATGGGCTGAACCAATTTGGACCCTCGAGTCCTAAATAGAGACATTCAATCTCAATTGGTCACTTAAAGACGCCTAACAAAATAGTTATGATCTTTTTTTTTAGGCAAATACCCAGGACCTGTAACTGATGAAAGCACCTAAAAATTCTACTAATATGCCAAGACACATGCTTACAAGATTTCCACTTGAGTAAGTTTACTTCTATTTATGAATATCTTGAATGATTGATTTTGTTGTTAGCCTCAGATTGATCTTTTGGGAACAAGGACTTTTTTTTTTTTTTGCACAAAAGTGAATTTCATTAACAAAATTGTTCAGCATAATTTAATTTACATCACAGAAATTTGCACAAACGGTAGGAAAAAAATGCAAGAAATATCAGATCTAAAATGAAAAATTATGGTAGATCTGAAAAATACAATAAATTTGAAAATATTTTCTAATAAGATAAATCACTACAATAGCCATCAAATCTACTAATCAACTACTCTAAGTTTGAATAATGATGATGAGATCTGTCGATATAGACTCAAGATCCAAAAGAATTCCAGATCTGATAACCAAATTTAAAATAAATTTAGATCTAATAAGAAAATAAGAAAAAGAACTACACAAAAATATCCCCAGGAATTTTTTGGAGAAATAGAGAATCCCAATAAGATATCAATTGTGAGACTTTATTATAAAAATATGGTAAAAATAGAATACGGAAAAGAAGGCCTTTTGAGAAGAGAATAAGAAGTAGAGAGAAGTTGGAGAAGAGGAGAGGCAGAGACAAGAATTTTGGGAACAAGTTGATCCCTCTCTTTGTTTAAGATACTATAATATTTGATGATTTGAGTTGGAGGATAATTCATCTTTGCTATCAGATGGACTATGAAAAGGGGTAGGGGCAAAATATGTGCCAAGTTAATATTTGTGGGGAACTAAACTTGGACATCCTTCGCAGTTCGCAGCATAGTATCCTAAATCACTGTCAGTGACCTGTTAAGGATTAACTCAAATTTCTGTTTAATTTCAGCTCGGAATGGTTAACATTTTTTCCATGTAATTACGTTAGCTCAATATCTTTTCCTTCTTAAAACGCCTTGTGTTTGCAAAATATGCCATTACTTGTTACTAAATATTAAATTGTGGATTTACAAGAAGGTCAATAACTGTTTCTGGACAAAGATCTTGTGAGATCTGGTTGCTTATTTCATCAATTGCTTGAAGGTTTATCACTGACGAATCTTGTTTTGACTGATTGTTTGTGAGATTAGTCTACTCATTGCACTCTAAATCTTGCTTTATCATGTTAGTTTTTGCTGTTTCACACCGTCTTGCTGAAGACATTGGGCCAAGCAAAGGTTTATTTATTTTTCATTTATTATGTGCTAGAACCCATAATTTACTTAGGTTGCACTAATCCCGATTTTTGCTCATCACCTACTGTGATTATATTTTAAAGAAGTCGTGTCTTCTAGTGATATGGGAAATTTCTTGCTGACTTCCTTGGCAATTAATAAAGGGGAGTTTCTAGAGAAGATAATTCTTTTTGTGCATTTTTTTTTTAACCTGCAAAGAGAAGACCATAAGTAACTCATGGCTTTTGCTGTAAAGAAATTAAAAATTAAGTATTTATTGTTTTCTTAATCCCAAAGAAAAAGGAAAATGAACATAGTAATTTTAGATCATCTATTTAATCTATTAATTGTCTAAATTATACGTTAAAAGGTACCTCGAGTACTACTCTTGTGTAACTTTAACCACTGGAATTGGCCTAATAGTTAGGAAAGGATTTTTGGAATCTTTCCTATTATTAGGTTCAAGATTCAAATATTATCAGATTCAAGATTCAAATATCATACCTGACAATTGGGAGTAAAAAAGGTTGGAGAGGGATGGGAAAAAAAATCTTATGTAACGTTGACATGTATTAGAGTTTTTGGGACTTTGCATTTTTTTAATTAGTTGATTCCGACTCTAAGAGTTTGGTTAGGTGATTATGGATTTTAGCTCTCCAATGTAAAAGAAAAGGAGAAAGGAATATATCATATAGGTCACATAACTGGTAATATTGAAAACCTAGTTTGGTAAATAATTGGAAATAGTCCTTAACCATGATATAATAACTTTTGTTTGATCCCGTTTAGATTATCTTGAGGAGACAAAGTCGCAGTCGATATAATACTAGAGGTAGCCTGCCAACTACACCTAACCTGTAGGCTAATTGGTAATAAGTTTGGATAGTTGACTAATGGTAATAAACAATATAATGTCCTTGATTTCGATCCACGCATGCATTGTACTAGCTCTGCACGGTAAAACTTTGCTTCCATAGTAATGTTCACACCACACCAATACGCAATACACGTCAGGCTGATATAATAAGCGAGAGTCAAATTATCAAGTTGCATGGAACATTTATAACAAGAAAAAGACACTTTCTCCACTGGAGTTTCCCAGTGAGAGTTTCTCCTCCGCTAAGAATTTTTAGTGAGATTTTTGGTTTTACATTTCTCCTCTTATTGATCTAAATTTTTTCAGATTTGGTTATCACATTAAAATTCCTTAAGTTAATCTCATCAGATCTCACATTCACATTTGGGTTTGAATCAATTTATTAACAGATTTAGGAGAAAGTAAACAGTGCAATTGGAAGCATACATAGATGAACATAGGACTACAAGCATTTCATCTTTTAAATATTTTTTGAATTTCACAGTATAATATTCGCTTGACTCTTCAGATTTGTAGTATCTAGATTTGTTCTTCAATTCTATTGT